TTGATGCACGTCTTTTTTTTTTTGGATCAAGTTTGAAATGGCCGACTGGCGGCCATTTTGTTAAAGAATTCAGTTCTGGATCCGTATCCAAGACATGTCTGGATTGATCAAGTTCAAACTTCACACACACATGGTACATCATGTCACAAATAGATATGTGCCTTTGTTTCATTATCTGCTTAACAATAGCGAAATGATGGCCATTTTAAGGCCGAAAATGCATCAAAATCACGTATTTTCACAATTCCAGAACCGGATCTCAGTCATGCATGGATGGATTTTGTTCAGATTTAGCACAATGTGTTGTACATATGCAGGTGCATTTCGGTCATGATCTGCTTTGAATGTATATGTCACTCAAATATGAACGGAACGGGGACGTGTCATTGACAATGACTTGTCTTATATTCTTCAATATTTCTGGTAATGAACAGACAAAATTAAGGTCAATTTTCATTTTTTACTAAAAAAATTTGTTATTTTTGTCCCGATCTTCGTAAGGTAAGTGCAGACTATAAACTGGACTATTTTGTGAGGAAAAGAGAGAATGGGTGGTGAAAAGGTTAATGCACTAACTAACAATAAGCAATTAATACAAACAATATTTAAATGTATTCAATATACTTTTTAGTTGCTTTTAAACAAAGAAATCGTCTATACATTGTTTTTGGGATGTTAGCAGTTAGCATTTTCCCATTTAATAGATCAATAAAACCTGTACTAAAGTTGGGAAACATCAGGCAGAATCTCAGTGGAATTTATTCGGCCGTTTTGAAGAGTTATGACACAAAGCTACTTACGCGGGACTGTTTGATAATAAGTAACGGGCAAATGAGAGGAGTAAAAAGACATACAAGTTCTTTTGCTTTCGTCAAACAATAAACCATGCCCACCCTTGGAGCGATAAGTTTATGATCACTGTTTACTCAGATTGAACACTGTGTCAATGCTATTGTCTATTGCATTTATTCGGCATTTAAAAAATATCACCCCATCTGTTTATTTGACGCAGTGCATGTCTTAGTAGATGGTCGGATTGATATACTTTGCGGTTCAGATAACTGGCAAGGTTTACTCAAATTGAACATTGTGTCAATGCTATTGTTCGTTGCATTCAATCGCCATTTTAAAAATATTACCCCATCTGTTTATTTGACGCAATGCACGTCTCAGTAGAGGAACGGATTTATATACTTTGCGGTTCAGATCACTGGCAAGGGTGATGTGAGGATAAACGTTTCGCCATGAGCCAACAACCTTGGTTTGTTTATGGTACTTGAATATCTATTGTGCAGATTACCAAAACGAGCAATAAAAGCATTGAAAAGGGAATACCCCCAGGTTTATTGAAATGTTCAGATACTGTGTGACATTATCACAATGATTTGATGATTGTTGGTGATGAAAAATAACCTTGATGCGAAGCGGCCCATAAAGTTTGTTGATTGTCAGATGAGGGTGAAATACATCTACATCAGTCTTGGTGTTTAACCATCAATTCTAATTTTTGCTGTGATATAACTGAACTATTCGTTATATGATTTAATTTCATGCAAAGGTGCAGGAAGTCACAGTCAATTTCACAACATTATTTACAGACACTATTTAATCATCAAAGTACAAAAAAATTATTTTTTTCGATCCGCTATCGCGAAGCTGTTTATATTACTGTCCGTCGTCGTCCGTCATTGTCGTCAACTTTGCAATTTCAACTTCTTCTTCAAAACCGCAAGTCAGAATGTTTTCAAATTTGATATGCAAATACCTTGGATGGTTCTTTCTCAGATTTGTTCATTTCATGTCAATATCTCAAATTCTTCATTTTTGGTAAAAAGTGATATTTTCGAATTTTGATAAGTCAGATTGCTTTGATACTATACATACTGTTCATTTTCTAATGATATCTTCAGTTCTTAATTGAAATGTGTCTTGCTAACAGCGGAACTATCTCAGCCGACATGTTGCTTGTTATTTTTTATTTTTGTTTATTTGTGACTGTTTTTTTTTTTGTTGCTGTTTTTTTAGATTTTTCTATGTCCCATCCCAGTCACATTTAAAAATTGAAAAAAAAAATGGAGCTTATACCTACATTAGATTTTAGTCAGATTGTAGTTTTAATATTATTCTAAAAGTAGAAATTAATAAATATTTAATAATTTCCTATTCTATTCATTCTGTTTCACAGCTGGTTCATACGTAGCTTTAACGTTACTTGGAAGACCTCCAGGATCTAACTACCCTCCCCTACCACCGCCACATGTTCCTGCTCCACCTGCTCCTTATACAGGAAGACCAGAAGTCACCGGACCCCAGCCTGCTGTGGTGAGTAGACCATCATGAAACCTCAGAGACAGTTATGACTTGTCTCTAGCCAACAAAATTCTTATGTAATATTCTGTTGTAATTAACCTTAGGCACAGGTGGCCATAGAAAGCTTGTTAACAGCTTGACAAGGGAACCATGCAAATTATTTTCTCCTCTCAAATAGAGTTCTATCGTACACCCTTTGATTGCGTCTACCGTTCCCCTGATCATTGTGACCTGTAACTAGAACAATGGCAGAGTCTGAGAGAATGGAACAAAATTGAGTACAAGTCGCATGTTTCTCTCGTTTTCAATTAGATCTCTTGGCCATTTGCGTCCAAGATCTATTCAACTGGACTGGACTCAAAATCTCAGAAATCTTTAGTAGTGAAATATCTTCAAATGGAAAGTCATAGTGACTTAATTCTGTCATCGATTATGCCCTCAATAATTTTAAATTTAGTAATCGTAAATACATTGTACCTTTGATAATTTCATCCTTGTATGCATTTGTTGAATACAAAAAATATTAATTTCGACTAGTGTTATTATTATTAAAAAAAAGCAAATGATTAAAGCAGGAGGGGTCGTCACCTGCGCACGTGCGGGAATTGAGTCCCAAGCGACAATAACAACATGCGCTAAAAACACAAAGGCTCATGAGTAGACGCTTGTTTGTAAACAATGACAGGCTATGGCCATCTGACGTATGTGCAGGTGACGACTCCCCTGCTTTAAGTAGCTGGCTAAAGTCCTTTAATATGAATATAATTTATAGATATGGATTAAATTTGTCAGGTAGCAATGTCTGTTGGTAAAATACACAAATAGGCCAATTTTTGACCGCTAGTGATGTAATTTTCAAGCCCATTAATGAAGTTGATCAATGACTAGACATTTTACCAGCGTTCTTGGGGACCACAGGTACAGTATTTGGAAAATAAGACATTGACACACTGCTGTCACTAGAGGGCATTGTTGTGCATATACAAGTACAAAGATTCAGACTAATGCAGTACTAAAGATGTTACATTCTTCCCAGGAAAGATGTAAGTTTGCTCTGAGAAGCCAAATTTCAGGCTTGGTCTGCCCAACTAAATTTGTATAACTAGAATAAAATTTGTGTTCCGGGGAGCATAAACAGGTTAACAGTGATACCTATCATATATTTCAATTATTCACTGGGTTTTAATTTCTCTATTTTCGCTGATAACTGAAATCTGCTTAGTTAAATCTATGTCAACATGTAAAATAACAATAAAACTCGTTGTTTCCTTGACAAATTCGTGAAATTAAAACACATGAATATGCTCAAAACATTAAAATAGCGAAATTAAATGTCAGTTTAAATAAATGGTTTTACAGTATTGGTCAAGTTTTATTATTTACCAGTAATTCATAAGTTTATGTATCATGTTGACCTTTGACCTGTCACTGATGTAATTTTGACCCTTGACCAATAGTATCCAACATGTGGTTGTTTTTTTTATTTTCTTCATATCACGTTTTTCATCTTTTCATGATTTGTTGTTGTTGTAATTTTTCCTATCATCACTTATGTTACTTCAGGTAATGTAAAACTTGCACCTCTTATTTCCATTAATCTCATTGCAAAGTCTATCAACTTAGGGGTTCTTATTTTGTCATTCCCTAATAACTAGGGAGTCTTTATTTTAACACCATGGTACAGTACAGTCCTGTGGTAACTTAACTTCAAAGCTGGCTTTACCTTCTCATAAGAACTCGTAATAATAATTTCAACTTATTGTTATAATTTCAACTAATTTTTACCAATGTTACCAATATGGGACATATTTAGATATGTAGAGGTTGTGAAAACAAGCTAAGCTAGGTCAAAGTTACGTACTGTAGGTATCATACCATCTGGTTAGAAATGAACTGAATATTTCACTACTTTTGAAAGCCTGAGATGAGACTTGTCGTGTCATAATTTTGTTGCACCATGTCTTACACTTGACTTTCTTTTTCTCATCATACTCCATCAATTTTCTCCTAATGCAGCCGGAAAAAGATGAGGAATTGAGGCAGGAGCGCATCAATGTTATGCGGCAAATGTTAGACCAGGAAATGGAATTATTTCAGGTTTGTTAGGAATATATCTAGTATCACATTATTACCCTTCCTTCTTTCTTCCCCAGAAAACATGAATCTGGTATCTGTATAATAATTATGGTATATGTTGTCATGGTATCTATACATGTAGCTATGGTATCTGTAGCTATGGTATCTGTAGCTACATGTATGGTATCTGTAGCTATGGTATTTGTAACTATGGTATCTGTAACTGTGGTATCTATCTAGCTATAGTGTCTTGTGTCATGGTACATGACGCTATGGTATTTGTAACCATAGAATTTTGTAGCTTTGTTATATGTTGTCATGATATATAAGCGTTTGTATCTGCAACCATGGTATCTATGGTATTGGAACGTAGCTATGGCTTCTGTACATGTACCTGTAGTCATGATAGGTACCATGGTAACTATATCTGTGGTTTCTAGAAATTTAGCTCTAGTTTCTATAGTCAATCTTTGTAACTATAGTATCTGTAACTATGGTATTGGTAGCTTATGGTATCAGTAGGCATGGTGTCTGTAACCATGGTGCATGTATCTATGTATCTATCTAGGTTTCCATGCTAGTGTGTTTTATTGTTATGGTTGTTCTACATTGTGTGACACTCCAACATCAACAGTGACCTGTGATCTGACCTGTGACATGTAATTACTTGATCACCTATAATAAAATACTGTAAAAAGATTAATTATTCACTGGGTTTTAATTTTGCTTATTTGGCTGACTGGAAAATGTGCAAAATTAAAACTCAGTGAATATGTAAAATTTTGCATAGAACACATTATCTAAATAATAAAACAGTGAATTTAAAACCCACTGAATATTCCACAAAATCTTAAATCAGCGAAATTTAAACCCACGGAAAATTAGTCATTTTACAGGAGCTTTGTTTGAAAAAGTATGTGACTGTGCTTGGATGGTATAGCATCTAGTAACATAACATTGCTCTGATGCATGAAATTTTGCAAACCATTCGTTTAATTAGGCTTATAATTCTGAGTGATGCACTTTCAAATTGGATTTGTTGATGTGAGTGATATATTGAGTTGGCATGACTTCATGAACTCAATATCTATCATTTGTAATTCAATCTGTATGATGGTGTTATGGCAAACCTTGCATGATGCAATCAAGACATGTCAGGCTGTTGATGGCTGTTGTATTTACATACATACAGCAGAAGAAGTGGTTTGCATGTCTTCAGTAGTTAGGCTTCAAAATTCTGATCTATATATTATACTCACTTACTTGAATTTATATCATGTTCATTTAACTGGTAATATTAATTATTTTAATTTGATAGCATGCACAATATTTTTGCACCATTTCCATATTTTTAATAATTAAACTAACTCCATACAATTTTTGCATGGTTTCATTTTTGATGTGATTTTTATTGCATTTTGTAATGTCTTTAAACCTTTTTTTTTCATATTCTTTCAGTTCCTACAGGGACTTACATTATCATTTTCATGCATGCATCTGTGCACACCTGTATCTCAGACATGCCTTGGCAGATTTTATTCAAAATTCACACATACGTCATAATACACATGCATCTATTCCATGATTCAATTCAAGATGGCTGAGTGTGCCATTTTAGTGCTAAGAATTTACCAAAATTAAACATGCTGGATCCTTGATGCACATAATTGAAAATGGCCAACTGGCAGCCATTTTTCCTTTTAACAAATACAGTTCCACTGTCATCTATGACATTCAAACTTCACACATCATGTCATACATAACCATGTGCATTTGTTTCATGATCCAATATAAAATGTCCGAATGGTGGCCATTTTAGTGGTAAAATTTCTCCCATTCGGGAACTGGATCTTGGTTATGGTTGAAAATATTTTATGCAAACTTGGTATGTTCATTAAGCATAATGGGTCCTTGATGTTAATTTTTTTCCATATTTGATTCAAAATGGCTGACTGATGGTTATTTTTTTTAATGAATGCTGTTCTGTAGCCATATTGCTAAAATAGATGGACTAATCATGTATGTAACACATTTTCACATGCGTCTGTTTCAGAATTCAAGATAGCTGATTGTGATTTCTTGCAAGACATGCCTTATGAATGTTATGGGCAGAATGAAAGAAGAAATCACACAAATAAACTGACTCCTTTTTGTATCACGTCTGTCACATGACTGCATGTATATATTTGATGTTGAAAGTCACTGAAAATTGACTTGTCATTGATTTGTATAAACTTCTTTTTTTGTCCTCAGACAACTAAAGACGAATACGATAGAAATCCTTCAGATAAAATAAAGCGACAACTGGACGGTGGTACGACGCGAATTAAAGCACTTGAGCAACAATTGCGAAATCTTACAGGTGATTCTATGTCATCAAAGGTAAATAATAACTGCATTACTAGGGGGTCTTTTTTGTGTTTTTTTAGGCATTTAATTATTCATCTTATGGCTTCTCAGAAATCTTCCAAAAAAAATGTTTTTACTTCTAAAAAGGGGTCATTTGTTTGGTTATTTTCTGTGTAGTTAGGTCCTCTTTTGTATTGTCATTGCAGTTAAAGGGTCATTTATATTGTTATTTGTTCTACAGTTAGGGGGTCTTTTGTATTGTGTCTTGCTCTCTGGGCTCTAAATTTATGTCATGCCCCCTAAGCTTCTCATGTATAGAAGGTTTTTATGCGGTTGAGCACCTAGCTTGGTATTCTTTCTCTGCATATAAAACTGATGTATGCTTTCTTTAAAGCATGGTAGTCGTCGTGCCACGCATGCGCGAGATATATGGGTTTCATATAAACAAAGATAGCGACTTTGTGCTGTTGCGCAGATCCACGAGTACTGTAAAATGACTAATTTTCACTGGGTTTAAATTTCACTGATTTACCATTTCAGGCATATTCAGTGAGTTTTAAATTCACGGTTTCGTCATTTAGATAATGTGTTCTATGCTAAATTTTACATATTCACTGTGTTTTAATTTAGCGCATTTTTCCAGTCAGCGAAATAAGCTAAATTAAAACCCAGTGAATAATTACCCCTTTTACAGTATGAACTGAGGCATTACTAAGCTTCAATCAGGTATTTTTTAGGTGATTGGAATGTATTGAAGGAGTCACCGGCGGTAATCAGTTCAAGTCGCGCCCAGGTCGAACCTCATACTTGTGATTTCATTAGAAGAGCACATTGGATTGTGGGAAAATCAATGTTTATCAACACAAATGTCACACATGCGCAGCGCAACGACTACCGCCCTTCAAATTATGCCTGTTTTCCTAAAAAAACATATTGTAATCTAGTTTAATTTGCAAGGCAAGTGAACAGGCTTAGTCTTACACAAGATTATGACCTTATTTATGGAAATGGACTATAAATTTGTATGTGATTCATGCTTCCCACTCCAGACCAGAATTATATTATGAAAACTGGCAGCTAGAATGAAAACCTATCTGTAAAATAAATTTCTACTAGACCTTAATACTAAGCAATGGCTTACTCTGCTGAAATACCAAGATGGGTGACCTTTGTAGGTTTTGCACCAAACTGCTGTTGTCAGCATATTCTATACTGTGTATCTTTTCAAATATCATATAATATTTTCTTTCTGTGCCTATTTTAATGATCTAGTATATAATAAATGCAATTTTTCGTTTATGTGCACTGGAGACTTATTTTCTGAATAAGCAAATAGCAGTAAAGTGTGCTAATGTTATTTTTTGTAACTTGAATCACTTTTACATCTTACTGATGGTCTTTTTTTCTCTCTTTGTGCTCTTATTACTCCCTTTTCTGTCTTTCTTCTTTTTGTTACGTCTTTCTGTAAATTGTACATAATTGTCCTACTGCTACAGATATTTGCATTGACTGGTATACCTCTATCGCCTCCACCCTCACCTTCACCATATTCTCAGGTAATTTAATGCCTGTTGATGCAATCTCTGCTTTTTAACATTTTTGCTTGACACTAACCCCCACTCTCTTTTATTTCATTGTTTAGTCTATTGTCATAGTGCAGATGAATAAGATCTCAGATATTGACTTGTTTTTGGTACTACTTTTTTTCATGCATCGGAATACATACTTTTGGAATAGTGTTATATACATTTAACCTGATCACCAGGTGTATTGATATGTAAAAAAAGTAGTTCTCTTGAGGCAGCTTTTAAAATGATAAAATAAACAATAATAATGATTGTGACAATAATCCACTTTCTTTGATGTTTTGTGTGTTTCTGATTGCATATGAACATGTTTTCTCCAATTCAATTCAATTTTGGCCTAAACAGATTGACAGTTATTTTTGATCAAATATTTCAAACTAATTAACATGAATGGTGACTGTGATATAAACTGCCAAATATATCTGGTGTAATTTTTTCCATATTTCATGAATTTTGTCTAATTTTCAAATAATTAATTTGCAAGAGTTTGATTGTTTTTGTGTTTTCTGCACTGTGTTTTATATCTATATTTCTATCTTTTCTTGTTTTTTCAATCCTATGACTTATACATATCCCAGTGTTCTCTGCAAGAATGTGTAGATGGTGTTCTTCCCAGAAATTGTGTTTATTCTCTGAACGTCATGTTGGCTCTATAATTTTTGCTATTGGTGAAGTTGAGCTCATGCTTTGTCTTGTTAGCCAGCATATGCAAATTACTCTTGCCAAGATATGCTAATTGCACTTGCTAAAATATGCAAATTTGACCTGCCAAGATATGTAAATATCTCTTGCCAGGATATACTGAGTTGACCTGCCAAGATGTGCTAATTGGACTTACAGATATGCAAATTCGACTTGCCAAGATATGCAAATTGACTTGCCAAGATATGCAAATTCGACTTGCCAAGATATGCAAATTCGACTTGCCAAGATGTGCAAATTTGACTTGCCAAGATATGCAAATTTGACTTGCCAAGATATGCAAATTTGACTTGCCAAGATATGCAAATTTGACTTGCCAAGATATGCAAATTTGACTTGCCAAGATATGCAAATTCGACTTGCCAAGATATGCAAATTTGATTTGCCAAGATATGCAAATTTGACTTGCCAAGATATGCAAATTTGACTTGCCAAGATATGCAAATTTGACTTGCCAAGATGTGCAAATTTGACTTGCCAAGATATGCAAATTTGACTTGCCAAGATATGCAAATTCGACTTGCCAAGATATGCAAATTCGACTTGCCAAGATATGCAAATTCGACTTGCCAAGATATGCAAATTCGACTTGCCAAAATATGCAAATTTAGCTTGCTAAAATATGTAAATTCGACTTGCCAAGATATGCAAATTCGACTTGCCAAGATATGCAAATTTGACTTGCCAAGATATGCAAATTCGACTTGCCAAGATGTGCAAATTTGACTTGTTTTTATGACACTGCTCTTTTTAGTAAATATTTTTGTTTGTTTTTGACTTAAAAAACTACAAAGCAAATTATACCATAGGTTTAAATGCCTAATATTGCTTGGTGAGAACACTGGTGTTGTTATTTTGAACTAATGCATATTAACCTTAGTGACTTGTTCAACAGTGGCAATAATAACATTATTATTCTCTGTATGTATTGGCCATTTATTTGATTGTAATATGTCAAATTTGTGTCAGTTCAGGAAGCTGACCACCTAAGTTGGTTAGAAAATACAGCCACCACAAAATGTAACTTAACCTCTGAGTTATTTAGAAAATGATCTGTAGTCATTTCTAGCAATTAGAACAGCTCATTCCATGGCATTATGTTTCTACTGAATTATTGAGTGTGAACATTTTACAATCTGTATCGTTTGTTTTATAGCAGATGTTGTCGGATTTACTGTTTCGTTCCTATCAGTGATGACTATCAAAGTTTAGATCAAAATAGGTAAACATCATGCCTAGTTGGAATGGTGCCGATTTAATTGCTTCAAGAATATAACTGGGATACTGTGACTTCAATGCATCATTTAGGTTGATTTCTAATTTGATGTTCTTTATAGGATGACGAAGCCCCTTACTTTGGGCAACCACCCGCCATGGAGGGCGGATTCGAAACTATTACAGAACAACAAGGCAATGCATCAGAACAGCTTCTCTCAGAAGTAGATTATTATGAACCTGCTTCCCCAGAAGAAAGCAAGGCTGTGGACAATGATAGTCTGGATGGAGTGCCAGACGTACTCAGAGAGAATCAAATACAGGCCCATAGTTCGGCCGATGAAGACGATGAACCGATACCTTTTGGTATCGGTCCTACTGAAGCAAGGGAAAGTAAAGCACAGCAATCAGCGGTAAATATATCATTTACTTAAAGGGGCTTCTTCTCAGACTCTGCAGTTAGGGGGCCATTTGTTTGATTATTTTCTGTGTAGTTAGGTCCTCTTGCAGTTAAAAGTTCATTTGTAATGTTATTTATTCTACAGTTAGGGGGTCATTTGTGTTATTTGGTTTACAGTTACAGTGTCTGTTGTGTTCAATTTATGACGGTGATCTTGATCTTCAACTTTGTATTCATTTTATTTCTACATATTGTGCCAGGTGACCTGTCACTGTTGTTTTTCTGACTTTTTTTATGTCCGCTGTCGACTTTGTCTAGCGGAGCTTATCATATGAGTGATTGCCCGTCATCATCCGTGTCAACTTTTTACTTTTGGTAAAAAGTTATATTTACTACAGGTAGACCTCTCTCAAATTTGTTGTGATGATTGGCATTCTTGGTAAAAATGACAATTTCGACTTCTTCATTGAAAACTAGTCTGATTGCTTTGATACTATACCTATAGGTATCTCAGGTAGAGGGCCATCCTCCTGTGATAATTCAATGTGCTATTCTAGTGTCCACCAGGTCTGGTTGAACACAATCACCTGTGGCACCTTAACCAAGATTTCCTTCAAAGCCACATCTGTTAGCGAACATGTATGACATGCTCATTTGAGGTCATAGACATCTATTTTGCAATGAATAAAACTTATTGCATGTTTATTGTAGTGCACAATATTTATTTAGTTTCCTTTTATTATATTGCTTTGAGATTAAATTCACTGTAGGTCTTGAAAAGTTCACAAAAATCTGTTGAACTGATAGGAACTCTGGGAATTTACATTCTGAGATGTTTATTGCTTTGTTCCCTGCCGGCAGTTTGTCTCTTTAAGAATCTTCACCACTGTGTGGGGAGGTCACTCATTTCTAAGGCTATGACATTTTACTGTTGTCTCTCAGCCATATATTGAATATTTTCAAGTGTACTTTCATGGTAATTTTTGGAGTAAACAAAGCTTCAAAAGTGAAATCTATTTTAGAAGTCACAATTGCTATTTAAATGGTACAATGCAACAGAGGGGAGCATTTCCACATGAACATGCTTTTTTAAGCCATACTGAAATACTAGTAAGGAATTGTCTCTTGACGCAGTGTAATAAAGTAGCCTGAACATGAGGCCAATAATAAATGAAAAAAAATAATGATGAAAAATTGAAAAAAAAAAATATTTACAAATTATTGAAGTTTTAGTGTTTTTCAAATGCTAATTTCAAGTATTTAGTAATGTGTGCTTGCTTCAAAAGATTTAGGTTTGCTACTTCCATGATTGTTTCAAAATGTTTGCTATTTGTGTTAAAATGTGCGAATTTTGCATATTGCTCTTTCACTGTTATGTAATAACATTTTGTGATGAATTGTATTTTATCTTCTAGCTTAAAAAATGGTGAATTTTTTTTTTTTTCAAATGTCCCAAAAAATGGGCGTGGCTTTTAATATAGAATTTTCGGTACACATGTTATTTACATGGGAAGAAAGTCAAGTGTATTAAAAGTCAGATTATAATAACATGAACTTGTATTACGTTTCCATGCAGTTAAAAAAACTGCTGTTTTTCTGTTTACGCCGTCGTCACAGAACTCGGTCGCTGTAATGCATCTGTAATGATAAAATTGCTATCGAGATCACAACCTTTCCGCGGGGTTACTACTAAAAATAAACTAAATATCAGGTCACAGTGGTATACTTCATTCTGTTTACACTTGTTTACATCTGTTGTTAGCCATACAGAAATAGTTACTTGATTTGTCATCTTTAAATCATTTTTCTGGTTTGCAAGATCTACTGTTAGTGTTGCTTATTTGATATATTAGAATTGCATTTCCAATAGAGGTGAAATAATACTTACCCAACTACCGGTGTTTCATCAATAAATGTGTTAAATGAGTTCATACACTTCTAATGTAGCTGCAGTGACTGTTACTGAATGAATATTTGCTGCTGTAATTTTGAAAGTCTCTATGACTTCAGTGAAATTGCTACTGCTTTTGATGCCTCTGTTGACAGTATATGAATATATTATGGTATAAAATTCCCGTAAAAAAGTTAGCATTTACCAAATCATAGTATGAGTTTTCTGTACTTATTCAAATCTACAACAACAAACTTCGTTACGTTTTCAGACTCTGTCGAAGATGTGTGTTTGATAGAGTGTATAAATTACTGTGGAATACTTTATTTTCGCTGGAATTAATTTTCGCTGAAAAGGCTTTTTGGGCGTTTTGTATGGAATTTATTTTCACTGATTTTTGATGAGTTTAATGTGAAATATAGGAAAAAAAGTATATTCACTGGATTTTATTTTCACGGAATCATCCCTTCAGCGAAAATAGCGAAAATAAATTCCAAGCGAAAATAAAGTATTCTACAGTAGGTTATTTAGCATATTGTTCTATCAGTGCACTTTATAACATAATAAGTAATCTATAGAGATGTGTCTGTAATGAAAATATAAAGTTGTATTTTAATGATCCATTGAAACAATGGACTAGATTTCAAGTTGATGTGCACTTCTATTAGAAATGTGCAGTGTGTGTAATGAAATGAATAGAGTATATACAAATTTGATACCATAAAAACGTTGATCACAATAAATCATTCAACAACTGTTGTGTAATGATCGAAATACATGTACAATGTAGATCAATCATATAAGCTTTACAGAGAAAGAAGGACTTTTTTTTCAGGAGAACATATGCAAAATAGTTCAAAAAGCGATCATTTTGAACCTTTTCCATATTAATGTTTAAAATTTAAAACAATTTTCATGATAGTCATATGTAGCCCTCATCACACTACATATCAATTTTTTAGCATAGGTCACCAAACATATTTTGAAATATGATGGAATGTTTCTGCCATAGGAACTAATTTAATTTAGTTTCTGAATTTTAAACATAATAGTAACCTTCCCCACTGTCTTGTATTATTTCAAGGAATTCCGAGTATTTTTCATTCAAAAGTAACAAACTAACTCAAATCAAAAGTTCCCCCAATGCAATTGTTCGATCCCAGGAATTGACAGGATCCTCTTTAAACTGCTTATTTTTTCAATTACACAATAATAACTTGTGTCGATATCTTGTATACCGGTATTATATCGTTTCTAATATTCTTTATGCATGACCCCTAGAGGTTACACATCCTGGTACTTTTGGAGGTATAATTGGCCTATAACAGAATAATTTCCAATATTATACATCAATTGTTGACATATTTGAATATTTATGAATTTTACCGATAACTGCTTAAAATTATTTTTACGAGAAATTGTAAAATTCTCATCGATACTGAATTTGTACCCCAGAAAATACCAGGATGTGTGACCTTTTGGAGGTTATGCATAAGGACTATTGCATTCACAATTAAACCTTATTTTTGTTTTTATCATGGCATCAGAATAAAAAGAAATTATTTGATGTGCTTAAGCGACGGCGAAAGGTGGGGAGAAGACTATACCATTATTGCATGGGTTCTGCAGGGATAGAGGTGGAGGGGCTCAATCAGTGCATGGGTGTTCATGTACATGTGTTTTCTCTGTAATAGATCTGTTGTTTCTGACATGGAATCATACTGTTAGTTACATCGTCTGCAGTCATCATGGTTCGATAATGGTTGTTTAGTCAGTCGGCTTATGTTGGTGGTCTGATGTGTACATGCCTGATGTAAATTTCTTAAAATGCTTGAAAATAATTTGTATTTACTTGTTGTTTTTCTTTTTTCCCTCAGAGTGACGGTGAAGTGTGGGTGAAAAATACAATTAAATACAATCCAGCACCATGGGTTAGTTATTATTCTTGTTATTATGAATAAAAATCTCATACATGTATTACGCCAAATAAAATAAACAGTGACCATGCCTGCATTTCGTTTCTGCCCATCTATGTAAAATACTTTATTTTAGCTGAAAAGACTTTTTAGGTGATTTGTATGGAATTTATAGGAAATTTATATTCGCTGGATTTTATTTGAACATAATTACCCCTTGAGCGAAAATAAAATCCAACCAAAAATATTTTAAAGTATGACCACTAGAGGGTGCTCACTTCCTGTTTATTTGCATGCTGGACCAATTAGATTCAGCAGAAAACTATTCCCATATATATAATGATGCACCAACAACGGAAAAACTCCCTTCAGCCCCCACTCCAACCTAAGACTTCAGCCCCCTCACCCGTAATTCTAACCCTGCCCTTCCAGCCCCCCCCCCCTAATGTAGTTGCTTCTCTAGATACTGTAGAATACTTTATTTTCGCTTGGAATTTATTTTCGCTATTTTCGCTGAAGAGATGATTCCGTGAAAATAAAATCCAGCGAATATACTTTTTTTCCTATATTTCACATTAAACTCATGAAAAATCAGTGAAAATAAATTCCAAGCAAAACGCCCAAAAAGCCTTTTCAGCGAAAATTAATTCCAGCGAAAATAAAGTATTCCACAGTAACAGATAACCATACATGTCTTAAAGATAGGGCAGGGAATATACAACAATTGGAGGGGGGCACTGGATGGGCAGGGTTAGAATTATAATTATGGGTGAGGTGGATCTAAGGAACTCTTACCCAAACAAAATGCACAGCAACATTTTATCAAGGCTCATAAGTTGGGAATCTATAAATATTTTTCACATTATGACAAGGAAAACATGATTTCTATGACAAATATGTCAATAAAAGGTTCTACCTATACACCTACCTATTTTGAATGTATCTCAAAACACACTATTATATTTTCTCTATTACCGTAAAATCTGTATTAGAAGCCGCTTCCCTAATAGAAGTCACACCCATCTTTTTGAGTAATTTCAAAAATTCATCATTTCTCATATGTGTAGATGCTCTAATAGAAGTCGCACTCCTTCTGTTGCATTGTACCATTTCAATAGAAGCCGCAGTTTCTATTACAGTTTTTACAGTAGTAGCACATGTGCTGATTTAAATGGTGTGTCTATGGCTAAAATAAGTCATAGTTTAATGATTCATCTACACATGTACAATAAATACAATTGTTGGTTTACATGCGCTTCTAATACAGTTCAGTAAATACTGTATTTATTTCATTTGATCGGAGCCCTTCCTCCAGTAGAAAATAATCCTGTACCATGTCTGTGACTGAAAAAACAAATTCAACTTTCTTTCTTCCAGCTGAAAGACGGGCCAGACCACAAAAGGCACAAATCTGATCCCGAGAGATGCTGCCAAGTCCAGTCAGATTTGCCAGGTTCAGGAACAAAAATTAAAAGGAATCTCTCTGATGCAGCGGACAAAGAATCTAAAAGACATGCCATGTCATCAGGAAACAGCGATCCCAGTGTGAACACTGATGCAATCACAGCAGTTGATTTTGCAGTCAGAGTAAGTCACATTTTTGGGGTGATTTTTTGCAAAGTTGTGCTATTTTAGGTTCCTACATTAATCTGGTATTCATACTGATAACATTTTATAGATATATGAATATTAAATAACTATGCAAATTAGATCATTATTATTCAAAAAAGTATGCAAATGAGGACAATATGTGATCAGAAAGACCTGCCATGTCATCAGGAAGCAGTGGTCACAATGAGGAAATTAAAGCAATTACAGCAGTTGATTTTTGAGTCTTCATGAGAATATGTCTATTACTAGATAATCAGAGTGCCATTCTCCTCTTATGAAACACCTGCTACAGTTTGTCGTATCAGAGACCACTTTTTCAAATGAAATTTTATTTCATTGTTTGGCAATAAATTATAGGACTGTAAACCTTTTAATTTTTGTTCAATTCCTCACATCTTGTAAAAATATACGTGTCTCCTCCATGCATTGATTTTGTTGTACACAATAATATTCTGGTACCTGATTTATGCAAATTAGGACTTTGATTTATGCAAATTAGGACATTGATTTATGCAAATCGGGACATTGATTTATGCAAATCAGAACATTGATTTATGCAAATTAGGACATTGAATTATGCAAATTAGGACATTGATTTATGCAAATTAGGACATTGATTTATGCAAATTAGGACATTGATTTATGCAAATTAGGAAGTTATTGTTTTCCTTGTAAATTTTGAACTTAAACCCACTGAATATGCTCAGAATTTCAAAATAGTGAAATTAAATGCCAGAGAAAATAGTTTTAACAGTATTGTATAACTATGCAAATCAGATCATTGTTATTCAAGATTTTGGGCAAATTGGGACTTTAACAACAAGAGCTATACAGCATGAATAATAATAATAATTTTATTACACAACCAAAACCATCAGATGGTTTAGTATGGTAAATAACAAAGACTAAAATAATAAAACTAATTAAATGAAAGTAAAAAATTAATAGGACAGAATAGAAAAACAAAATAGAAATATAAAATAGTGAAACTGACATTGCATAGAAAAAGACATTGGTTCTCTCATAGGTTAGATGTGTATTTATATAATTAAATGATTCTATTGAATAATGTATTTTTCAAAAATTTAGAGAGGGCAAGGTCATGCTTCATTATTTTAAGAAAAACATCTGTATATTGTTTGCCTGTGATTTTTGTAGTAATGTATTAATTTACTCATTGAATGCTCATCAATTGCCATTTTCATTTTCCAAATACATCATTTAATTTTATTGTGCCTTCCTGTTTTTAGAGACACTCGGCGTCTTCAGACAAGGTAGCACGAGACAGCGACAGCGACCATGAGGTCTCCAGCGAGGCTGTATCACCGGTGAAACAACACCATTATGAAGAGGTTTTGTTGCAAGATACTATTGATACTAGTCCGTCAAATGAAGATGCACAGATGGATCATGCGGAGAATCCTAACCTTGTAACAAGTCCAGTAGAACTACCGGTAAGGGTTATTGCTGAACAGTTTCCTCCACATGCTAATGCATGCATTGAATGGCTCTCAGATTACTGTAAATGCATTAAATATTCACTGGGTTTTAATTTTGCTGTTTGCTAAAATGAAAATCACATGAACTCAACATTACATTAGACTTCAGTGTTTCCCTGGCTTATTCGTTAACCTAAAACTTAGTGAATATGCTCAAAATATCAGAATAGTGAAATAAATGTTAGTGAAAATAAAGGGTTTTACATTATAGAGCTCTTGGATTTCAAAAAAAATTGCAAGAGGGAGCACTGCAATTCAGCGGCGCCACCAAGTGGGGGAGATAGGGTTCTTCCTACCCGGATGTAGAGTTTTTGATAATTCTAACTTAAAATGGAGCATTTTATGGCTTCCTTGAGGCCAAAATTACTATCAGACAGGTCACAGTTGAAGACTGTGGCCACATGTGATCCCTGGTCAATCAGAATTTTACGGTTGCCAGAGGATCTGCTTCCCAAGGTAAGGGGCGCATGGCCATGGCATGAGGGCGCTGCGCCCCTGTTCCTTTTTTTTAAAAAATCCCTGCTAAACATTGATTTTCATTGTTAGGAAGGCAACTGTAATAACCATATAGTTTCAGTGCTTGTAATAACTGTATTTTAGAAGCACACGTATAGCCAAATTGTTTATCAGCTGTCTTATTTCTGGTCTTTTTTTGTCTCTTTAAAATTGATTGGGAGCCAACAATGGCCTATCTAGACAAGGTAACATGAGTGATTAGGAGAGCTGTATGTGTATGTATACTATTAAATATGGTTTGGGTCTTGATTTGGGTGAGTGATAGACGAGTGGAGTGGACAGTAGTTTTAAAAGTAAGGTTTTATACCTACCTGCAGTAAAATTGTTCTATAGTCTACTAATTAATTTTTGCTGAAAAAACTTTTTTGGTGTTTATTGATGAGTTGATTGTAAAATACGAGTATAGGAGAAAAGGTATTTTCGCTAGATTTTATTTTCACTGGATCACTTCAGCAAAAATAAATTCCAAGTGAAAATAAAGTATTTATACATGAACATATGCATCTAATCTCAAGTGTCCCACTCAAAATTTGGTGCAAATATTTTCACATTTTGTAAAATTTTCACTAAATTTCGTCATCATTTTGGACCATACAGACAGTTTTTAGCTCCACTGTCGACTTTGTCGAGCGGAGCTTATCATATGAGTGATTGTCCGTCGTCGTCGTCCGTCGTCGTTGTCGTCCGTGTCAATGTTTTACTTTTTTGACTTCTTCTTGAAAACTACAAGCCTGAATGATTTGATACTTGGTGTATATGTACCTTGGGCAGACCTCTCTTAGGTTTGTTCATTTCATGTTGATATCTTCAATTCTCTAATTTTGGTGAATATTTTTGTAATTTTTGGTAAAAAGTGATATTTTCGACTTCTTGTTAAAAACCAATAGTTCAATTGCTTTGATATTACATATTTAGATACTACATGTAGACCTTTCTCAGATTTGTTTGTTTCGTGATGATATCTTCGATTCTATAATTTTGGTGAATATTTTTGTCATTTTTGGTAAAAAGTGATATTTTCGACTTCTTGTAAAAAACCAATAGTCTGATTGCTTTGATATTACATATATAGGTACTGCATGTGGACCTCTCTCAGATTTGTTCATTTTGTGATGATATCTTCAATTCTCTAATTTTGGTGAATATTTTTGTCATATTTGGTAAAAAGTGATATTTTCGACTTCTTGTTAAAAACTGTAAGTCCGATTGCTTTGATACTATACATATTGTTCATTTTCTAATGATGTCTTCAGTTCTTTAATTGTAATGTGCACTGCTAACAGCGGAGCTATCTCAGCCGATAGGCTGCTTGTTGGTATTACTTTTAGTTTTTTTATCGAAACTTTTGTTTTTCAACTGGGTAGAAAATTGTTTTGTAGGTGGTGCCAAAAATGTTGACAGTGGCACTCAAAGATTTAATTATTTAATTAATTAATAATCTAGAGCAAATAGGGATTTATTGAATATGTAACCAGGGTACATATCTTGTGGAAGACATTAGCGCCCTCATGGTGAGGTGCGGGGCATATTGTGTAACTGGTATGTATCAGTATTTATAGTGGCCTTAATTGAGTACTGTAAAATGACTAATTTTCACTGGGTTTAAATTTCACTGATTTACCATTTCAGGCATATTCAGTGGGTTTTAAATTCACGGTTTCATCATTTAGATAATGTGTTCTGTGCTAAATTTTACATATTCACTGGGTTTTAATTTAGCGCATTTTTCCAGTCAGCGAAATAAGCTAAATTAAAACCCAGTGAATAATTAATCCTTTTACAGTATTACGCACTTTTTGAACTCTTTACTATTATTCAGCATTTGTATGCATTGTTCTCTCTAAAGTAAATATTTTAGCTGTGTTATGAATCCGCCGTAAACTTACCCTTATACGCCCCTCGGCACAAGCAAGGCAAAAAAAGCAAGATATTTACAGTTAGAGGCTAGTACATAATGATGCGTAAATACAGACTTTACGCTATTATAGGGTTTGCCTAACCGCATGCACTACAATATACCCTTAAGCGTGTCCTAAGTTTCGCAAACATGCATCGTTTACTGCAGTTTGTTAGTTCTGCACTTAAATGCTTACTCTTCATGTGTGTTGCCACTTTTCATCGATATTTATATTTATGGGAAATCAAACGTGCTCAGTCAGATGTGTTCTACTTTTAGCGGTAATCTAAATGTTAATCAAATTATGTTGCCATGGTAACTAACATAGGGGAAGCCAATATGTTACCTATAATTTAACCTAAGTAATGGTTCAGTGGTTAGCATACTGTAAAATACTTTTTTTTTGGCTTGGAATTTTTTTTTGCTATTTTCGCTGAAGGGATGATTTAGTCAAAATAAAATCCAGTGAATATACTTTTTTTTTCTATATTTCACATTCAACTCAGTGAAAATCAATTCAAGCTAAAATAAAGTATTTTAACAGTATTCATCTTTCATCAGCAAGGTTCTGGTTTAGATTCCCAGAGCTGACTTTTTACTCAGCAGTCTGCCCTGCCTTCTAAGCCCGAGGTATTAGTACATGACCAGCGCTAGTTCCTTTGTCTTGTCTGTACATTTTTATTTTTCGTGATTGTGCCAACGTTTTTGCCCTGCAACACCTTGTATGCAATTTTCCCCTCGTTTCTAGCTTGCATATTTCATTTTATTTTTTTTAACAAATTTTCTGGCCACCTCCCATTATATCAAATGCTCGACCTCTAAGGAAGGAGATCGTACACTTGATGTCCATCTTCACATTGTGTGGAAACTAGGAGAGGACCAGCCTCAGTTGATGATACACCAAGACAACATAGTTTGATTATAACCAGTTTAACATACCATGTCCTTGAACTTGACAATGGATAAGCATGTGCAAACATAACAACATGTGATTTCTGAAGTTCAAGTGCCCACTTGAGTGTTAGGATAAGTTCTTTGCATTTGTTGACTTTTTTAGGGATGCGTCCAGCCAAGGGGAGTGACCTTTCGAGTGTTGTCCAACTACTCGTCACTCTCGGTATCTATACTTAAAACTGAGAAAAAGTAATGTATACATGTTAGATTGCTGATGAGCCATACCGCTGATATTCACAGCTTCCCGTTCCCTTACTGCATCTCCTTATATATGCGTAATTAGAGTAAACCCCCTCTATCACGGCCACTTCAAAGTCCAGATTGCTATCACACCATTCATGCACAGCTTTCAGTTCACATTCCACTCTGAGGTGCATCCCCTCAACCATGACCATTCTAAAGACCAGATTGCTATCACTGATTGAGATATACTTGCTCATGTTTCCATGGCAACAAAAAATTTAAGTTTTCTACATAGCATTATGTATAAATTATGCGTAGACTATCAGTAATTAGGATTTGAATTAAAAAATATGAACATGGCCACTCAAACTTTTTTCAGCATATTGTTGTCAATCAAACTTTGCAAAATTGCTCATAATTAAAATGCCTCGTATATATAAATAATTCCCTGCATAGATATGATTATTTAAATTGTGACCTTTATGCCACCTATCCCATAATATGCCAGGTGAGCTGTATAATGTAATGGATATATTGAAGTGTAATCCAACACTAAGTCTATATACCTTTCTCTGTAGCCTGTGTTTCCAACTGGTCTGCTGTATTATAAACACAGCACTGTTCTGCTCCAGGGTCCTTTTCACATACTCCTAGTTCAGTTTTAAAATTATCACTTTTTGTCACTGTGATGCTTTAATTAATTTGTATTGATTGACGATAACTGTACAGACCTCGCTTGGTATCTGTTTTGTTTATGTGTAGGAACAATTTAAACTGGTTTCAACTTCCCCGTCTTGCAGTCAAGCCATATTTTGGAGTTCCCCCTTAGCTAAGAACTAACATACCGTGTTAGTGGCTATGTGATGTCATTCATTTTTGCCGACTAATTTTAGAAGTCTTCGTCATACCTCCACGTTTGAGTCGCCTCCAAAAAAACAAATTCTGGAAAGTTATAACCGCAGTAACTGGATGGCATTTTCGCCCATTTCTTCATGAATTCTCCGTGCCAATGTAGCTGTGAGTTTGACCCATGGGTAGAACAGGTAAGACTATTCAGTGTTTGTGTAAGTTGACCTGTCGGCGGGTCATCACTTCAACACTCCCCGACATCACCACCTCACCCCACCCCACCCCACCCCTCTCACACACACCCCCTCATGTGAATATTATGAAATATCTGAATTATTTTTGCTATACTGTTATGTGTAACTCTGATTCTTGTTTATTGGAAATACAATCCACATGGATCTCTGTACGTTGATCTTGGCTCTGAACTGGCATTGTTCATAGTTTGTAAATGTCCCAGTGCTTGCAAGGACTTGATGTCCTTAAAGTCGCTTTGTCATCCTGGCAGGATTGAAGTGAATTATCAGAATTTCATCAATCTACAAGATTTTTCCAATCA